AACCCCACCCAAAATTGTGATCAACATTTAACCTTAAAGCTAAAGCTAAGAGCACGTACACTTCTCCAAAAGTCTCCCAGGAAATTACTTAATGACACTGCTTTATCAGGTAAGATCAATGGATCCTCCAGTCAATTTCCTTCTCTTATTATTTTTGCTTGATTAAAGATCGAAATGAAGTATCTAAAGGGAAAATTGTTGATCAAGATATATTCAGCATGCAATGCAAGGTCTACTGTAATGAGAGAAGACGCTGATCAGGAGGTGTGAGGAAATGCTGCCAACTATTTCATTTTTGTGTCTCTCAATTGAATAACTATACAACATTGTTAGCCAGAGAGTCAGATTTTAAACAAGGGAAACCAGAAAAAGTCATGGGCGTTAAGAATCGGAAACAAAAGAAGTAACTAACAAAAGATAAGTTTCAAACTATGAATTACCTGCTTTCGATCCCTTGATCTTGCTGCAGACTCCCTGTTCTTTATCATCCTCTTACGCCTTCTCTCAACAACTTTTTCGAAAGAGGTGCATGATCTCCTTCCTCTTCCAACTTCGCCACATGCATAAGGTGAAGGTGAAAGAGATGAAGGATCAAGATTTCCAGGGGATCCTCCTTTTACGGATGTGACCCCATTATGCAATCCTGCCATGTCCATAACACCACCTTGCATGATACTGCCTTGAATAATACTAGTATTTACAGACGGATTAGACATTCCGACAATGGGAGCCCTTGTCCCTGGGCTAGCCAGTTGAGCAGTGTTCCCTAGTTGCATCGGTGAAGCAAATGCGACAGTTGTTTGTTTGGGGAAAAGGGGCTGTGCCTGCTGAGGCTTTTGCTGTGAAGATGTGGTAGTAACCACATTGAATATGCTATTCTCTGCAATTTGATTACTCAACTGTTGAGGGTTTTGAGTTGCTTGTTGAAATGCTATGTTCAAGCTACTGTTGTTACTGCTTGGTTGAGTGAAACCACTAGTGAATGTAACATCCTTTGAGTATCGAGTTGGTTGCATATCTTCTCGCACTGCTCCTGCTCTAACCAAAAACTCTTCTAACGTCATTTCTCCCAAGGTAGATTGCCTCTGCCCAAAGTTTGATGCTCCAGGGGCACTTCCATCATTGGCATTAACAGTCTCTTTCTGAAAGTCTTTCCATACTTCATCAACAGTTTTCTGACTTATTGTCCTAGGCAATGTCAAAGAACCCTGTCTCTGCAAATTTCCCACTGGCACACTTACATTTCCACCAGCAACAGAAGATGACATGGCTTGAGACTCTTCAGCTGTCCAAATGTTCTTCAATAGGTCGTCCATATTCATTGACCCAAAATCTTTCCCAAGTCCACATGTACTTTGGAGCTCATCAAAGGTAAACGAGTATATGGAAGATTGTCGAGCCAACGAAAAATTATCATTATTCATTGGCTTCCCACCACTGCTCTCTGGCTGTGATGTGTCAGCAAAGTTCTTGAAGTTCAGGTAAGAACCCATTGTATGAGAAGGCAAAGGAGACTAAAATCTGATCAAAAAGTTCAGTCGTAAGATTCTTAGCAATAACAGTAGATCCGGTAGAAGCTGACCATGGGATTCATTTTTTATATTTTGGTGAAGTCCAAGAAGATATATCAGAATGTTCACCAGTATACAAATATTGCATACCGCCTCGAATTAACACAAATCATTCATATATCCTAAAAAAAATTGCTATAACATTGATGATTAGGCCAAGCTCAAACACATAGTCTTCATCGTCAACTTGAACATGGTGACCTAAGGACAGTAAATAAAGATGCAACCTTTAAGATCTTATTTCATTACAGCCAGTTTATAAATCATGGTTTGACCTCAATCAGCCCACGACCTCTTTTATACATTTGGATAGAAAATGTTTAACAGTAACAAGTCAAGATCAAAAGTGCATTCAAGTATCAACTTCAGTGATAAACTCATTCATATGACTACACTGGCCAAGCCGCATACAAGAAAGGGGATTTTCACCTTCGTCAAAAAGTAATACTACATAAAATAGGGTAAAATAAATTTTTTTACATATATAAAATCTTGAATCTTGTTAAAGGATACAGGTTCAAATCCCAGGTATGACAATCTTAAATTGTTTTGAATTTCTAGCTCCGCCACTGTATGACCATAATTAACCTCCTTCAAACTCATTTCAAGTCCAAAATTTCATTCAAAATCAAAATATAATAACACCCACGAGCGTAGATGAAATCTTCGTTCAAGAATCAACTCCAATGTCAAACTCATTCATCCAGGATTAAGCATATTCCATAAACAAAAGAATAACATTAATCTATTAACCTTCTTCAAAGCTCATTTCAAGTTCATAAGTTCATTCAACATAAATATTTGACAGTAATACATTTAGATCCAAAACTTCACACCCACAAGCCTACATTAAAACTTCATGAAAGCATCAACCTCAGCGGCAAACTCATACATCTAGTTTCCGCTATGCATGAAACATACTCTATAGCCAAAAAAATTGGATCTATTATACTTGTCGCAGCTCATTTCAAGTTCAAAAAGTTTCAAGAAATCAATTAATCAATCAATCAACTACGCTTTCAAGCTGGTCAGGATCGTCAATATGAATCCTCTGTATCCATTTGACTTTATTTGGAACCATTTCATTTCAACAAATATCCAGAAAAGAAAATAAAAAACAAATGAAATAATAACAAATCAAGAAAAAAGTAAATAATTTTTCTTTGCCAGTTCTAGTAGGACAGGACAAAAGAAAATGTGAACAATCAAGACAAGAAAAAACAGGCAAAAAATGGGAGAAGAGAGATTTTTACCCCTTTTTGGCAGGTAGAAATTTGGAAAGAACGGAAGAGCAAGCGTGTTGTTTCCTATTTCTTCGCCTCGTTAAGGCTTCTTTTAAAGGACAAGTGTCTAATTTTTCATTGTTTTTCAACTACGACTCATTTTTTCAATTAAAACTAGACCTAATTTGTAATAGCATTTCTTAAATTATCTGAAATAATCCAAATTGAATGTTTTTTTTTCTATTACTTAGCGCTGTGGGTGGTCAGCACCTGGACTCTAAGTGCGTCTTGATGATTGATGTGATGTTTCGCCAATAAAATAATGGAATGTGGAATCATCTGAAGCGTTGTTTGGAGCTTTGTGAAAATGAAACAGATGGCACTTATTGGTTCGTCTTTCATTTTATTTTGTTATTTTGTCAGGCGGAGTAGTGGGTCGTGCGTACGGCGTGGTGGGCACACCCAACTCAAGATAGTACTTACCACGGAAGGGAAACATAGGAGTACTTGGTGACGTTTGGACATAAGAATTGTAAAATTTCAACAAATAAAAAGTAAAAAAAAAAAGTAAAAATACTATTTAAAAATTAGAGTTGTGTTTGAATATGAATACAATTTTAGGTTGTTTTTGAAGTTTTGTGAGTGCAAATTTTGAAAATCAATTTTTTTTGAGTTTTTAAAATTTTCGAAAAAATTTAAAATTTCATCTTCAAGGGAAAATTAAAAATTTTATAGCCAAACACTGAATTTGTTTTAAAAAAAATCAGAAAAATTAAAGAAACTTTACCCCTCCTCCCCTCCTCCCTGACAAAAATATCATTCTGCTCATAAAGTTCAGGATCGAGTGTCCTTAACTTATGAGCTTGTTACTGTAAGTTCAGGACTAGCTGTCCTTAATTTATGAGCTTGTCCTTTAAGTTCAGGACTAGCTGTCCTTAATTTATGAGATTGTAAGTCTAAGTTCAAGACTACATGTCCTTAACTTTTGAACTTGGAACTCGAAGTCCAGGACTACCTGTCCTTAATTTCTGTGCTTGTAACTCTAAGTTAAGGACTACTTGTCCTTAATTTTTGTGCTTGTAACTCTAAGTTAAGGATCAAGTGTCCTTAATTTCTGTACTTGTGACTCTAAGTTAAGGACTACTTGTCCTTAATTTCTGTGCGTGTAACTCTAAGTTAAGGACCAAGTGTCCTTAACTTATGAGCTTGTTACTGTAAGTTCAGGACTAACTATCCTTAATTTATGAGCTTGTAAGTCTAAGTTAAGGACTACTTGTCCTTAGTTTTTGAACTTGTAACTCTAAGTTAAGGATAAGTTTGAAAAGGTATGAGGACTTGTTGGTATGATTGGATGGGTACCGGAGGTCTCGGGTGTATTTCAAGATGGTTTTGGACCATCTCCCTTTGATTTGCAGTTGCTGGTTTTTTGTGTCAGTGGTATGCATTGTGATCGCAGAGAAGTTCTCCACGATCACGAAGTGTTGTGTGGAGCTGTGGAAGAATTGTTCTTCTTGATCACGGTAGGGCATCGCGATTGCGTTATGGTGGTCTGGTTGTTTCTCGCATTCGCATAGTGAGGGTCGCAAACATGATGTGTTAGCAACACTGGCAACGATCGCGGAAGAAAAGTTTCTAAGACTTAGAAGATTGGCCTTTGCGTTCAAGGAGCTTGGCTCGCGTTCGCGTAGGCTTGGCCAGCTTAGGTTCGCGATCGCAAGTGGTCACTCGCATTCGCGTAGAAGGGGATTCTGGCTGAGGCAATATTGGACTTTGCGATCGCAAGGATACTTTTGCAATCGCGAAGAGGGACGTCTGGGCAATGTATAAGTTTGCGAATTGGGACTTAGCATATTTCTCTCATTTGGAGCCAATTTTGGGGCAATTTTGGAGGCTAATTTTCATCATCTATCAGAAGGTAAGTGATTCCTACTTATTATGAGCTAAATACCTGGATTATTTATGGATTGGAACATGAAAATTAGTGAAAATTATAGGATTTTGGAAGAAAACCTAAAAATGTTATTTTTGAGTTTTGACCACGAAATTGGGCATGAAATTTGGAATAAATTATATGTTTGAGTTCGTAGTGCTATGTGTAATATTTATCTTCGAGAATTTTCAGAATTTGGGTATGTGGGACCGGGGGTTGACTTTTATCTTGAGAATTTATTTCTAATTGTTAAATTAATAATCTTTGAGTATATTTTGATTGGTTTGCACGTTCTTTGTCTAGTTTCAGATCGCTTGGCATTGTTTAAGGTGTTAGAAGGGCATTGGAGCCGATTATCGAATTCTGGAGAAGTCTCCTATCAAATATTGTAAGAGGGAATTTACCCCCGTAAGTGCTATACTTGCTACATGCTACGTGTTATGGGAGCTACACACGTATGAGGTGACGAGCGTCCGTACGTATGCTAGTTTCTTGACTATGTCCGGATAGACTTAGACTCACACCACGCTTTAATTGTACTACTCGAGTTTTTCTTGCATGTTTAAATGTTTTAATTTGTTTTTTAGCCTGAGATTAGACTTATACAAGTATTGAGCTTTATTATTCTAGAAACTTGGCACACTACTTGATTAGCCGCGGAAATTATACTTTATCTTACGGTTTACTCATGCATTGTACTTATTTGTCCGCAAGTTTCTTGATTTCATTACTATCATATATATTCGCAAGTTGGGCTGATGACCCTTCAAAGTTTCACTATTCTTATGTGATCGGACGGAACGCTTCAGCAAAACTGTTATAGGATCGGACTGAACACCTAAGTAGTATCATTATGGATCGGGTTGTTGACCTTGATATTATTATGAGATGCATCTGCAGATCAGCCGTACAACCTTGGCAGTATCATGTAACACACTCTCATGGGAGCGAGTCATTTGCCTCAGCGGGATTATAAGATACATTTATGGGATCGGGTTATTCACCTCGGCAGTTCTATGAAAGACTTTTCTTATGGGATCGCGTCGCTCCTCTCGGCAGACTCGTGCGTAATATTCGATAGGGAGTCAACGTACATATGAGTTTTCCTGACTTGATATTTGGCATTGTATTTGATACTGGTTATATTTGTTTCCTTCGAGGCGGTTTATGGTATTTGATGATTTTGTAATTATTCTTACGTTGAGACTCATGTTATTTATATTTATCTGTTTCATTACTACTTGTTGAGTTTCATATCTGTCTACTTGTATGTACATTGTTATTCGACCACTAGTAAGTGTCGATGTCGATCTCTCGTCACTACTTCTTCGAGATTAGACTAGATACTCATTGGGTATGCATTGAGGTACGTACTTATACTATACTTCTGCACTAATTGTTCAGGTACACTTGGTGGACAATCTAGGCATGCAGGCGCAGCTGCTGAGGAGACTTTGTGGTGAGCTGCATTCTATGTTACAATCCACTGCACATGGAGTCCCCGTCCTATTTATTTACTATATTTTGTCTAATTTCTATTCGAGACAGTTATTGCAGTAGGATTGTATATATTCTAGTAGATGTTTATGCACTTGTTGTAAGGCCCCGTAAATTTTACCAAGATTTCGAAGTTTTAGTGGTGCTAAAGTTGGCTAATATGTTAGAAGGGTATAGAAAATTTATGTGGCAAGCTCGCCGCAGTACAGAATTTTTGGGTTGTGCAAAGCATTGTGGAGTTGGTGGAACTTTTTTTGCAGAACATGGCATTTCTGCGGTCCATTATACGAAATTGTTCTGCGACCGCTAATCCGTCGCAGAGTGGAACAGGAGACTTGGGGGCTATTTCGTGGCCAATTATGCGGCCGCATTTTATTCCGCGGTCCATTATGCGGCCGCATAACTGATCTGCGAACCGCAGATCGACCGCAGACTTGAACAGGCCAGGCCAGTTTTGCAGGTCAATTTCGCGATCCCTTTCATGGACCACAGACCTGATCTGCGGTGCACTCTGCGACCGCATAGTTGAGTTCGGAGGATCCATTTTTGTTTTTTATAACCCGAACCCATTTTTATAAAAGACCTTGGGGTTATTTTAGAAGGTTCCAACGGAGGTTTTAGAGAGAGGGGAGTACTTTAGAGAGAGAGAGAGGAAGAAGCCCCAGGTACTTTGCTCATCAATTCTTGCCCAACTTTGAAGATTCAAAGAAGACACTCCTAGACCATCAGTTATCCGGGTAAGTCTTGGTCCTAAGCTTTCATGCAAATTGTTATGGGTTTTAAATAAGCCGTGTAGTAGTAGAATTGGCCATGCATGTGGCAATAGGAAATGGTATATGGTGTTGTTGAGCTATTGCGAGTAGATTCTTGTTGAAATTGGTTGAGGGAGGAAGGTAATACCATTGTAAAGCCTTGTAATCAATTTTGCATAGTAGGTGTTTGACGAAATTCCCAAAAGCCTTGTACCAAGAGAATCCTTCCTAATTGTGGTTCAATTTTGTCATATCTCTAATAGATTGAAGTCCCTAGAAGCTTTGTAGAATCGGATTCCTCAAAATTCTTGTAAACTTCAATTATGGGTTGATCAAGTTCCTTTTTTCGTCATTACTATCTTCTTCTATGGTTAGCTGGTCCAAATCCTTATAGTTTGATTCATATTTTGAAAATATAATGCTATGCTCCTCTTTTATGCTTATACCCAATGTGTTTTTGAATTCTTACATACCATTGAGATGAAGATATGCTTTTTCTCAATGTTTCAAATATCCTTAAATGTTTTAAGATGATCCTTAGAAGGCAATGAAAGAATGAAAGTATAAATTGTGAAATGCGGCCGTCATGCCAAGAATTATGATTTACATATGAGGCCCAGAGTGCCACTAAAAATGAAAGAAAGTATGAAAGGCATGAAAAGTATATGATCCTTTTAATAATAAATGCTTTTGGGAGTATCATTAGGTCATCGAGGAAGGCTGAGTCACAAATACCCAAGCCTGAAACTACACGTGCGGGTGTAGGGATTGATTGAGGGATAAATTTCTATTATATTATATTGAAATTATTCCCCTTAATTGGGATGAGTTGAGTTGAGAGCTAGCAAGGACCATTCGACCTACACGGTATTGTGGTGAGACTGCTTAGCATCGGACGCCATGCCACACACATGGTGGTATTGTGTACTATGTCAAACCTCATACTTTTGGATGATACGGTTTAGCCGATCAGACAGAGATCAGACTTCGTGCTATAAGCACGGTGGTG